AGGCACATCTACCAGCAAGAGAAAATTCACTGAAACCTGGCATTATCTTTTGGCACTCTGTAACTTCAGAAATAGTGATTAGAAGAGAAACAAACACACACACACACACACACACACCACTTCATCAACAAAGTAGCATTTTCAGTAATAGTGATTAGAAGGGACACACACACACACACACACACATTTCATCAGCAAAGTAGCATTTTCATTTCAGCTGTTCCTGGGGGCAAAACAGCAGAAAAGATAAATCTTAGACTGAAAGCTTTGTGATGATCTCCGTTTCTCATTAAAGTGCCGCTGATTATAATCACACCTACGATTACAAGATTTAACACACCTGGCCTTAAGGATGCACCAGGAAGAGGAATCATACATTCATCCCATTCCATTTCCTTTTCTTTATTCACTAAGTAAGCACAATTTATAAATTTCAGTGAGTGCAAAATAGAGCTGCTTTGGAGAACCGGAGAGCGATTTTCCATTCACATGGTTTTTTGAAAGTGACAATAATCTTCCATGGCCACAAATTATTTTAATACTGGTAAGACCAGGAGTGTTGCTTTCACTGGCTACACACAGATGTGAGAACTCTGGATAGAGTTTCTATTTCTTCTCTCACTTTACTAACCAGATATTTTGCTGTGTGCGCGCACACACACACACACACACACACTCTTACTCTCTCACTCATTAAGGGTGTGTGCACTTATAGAGTTTTTTTTTGCCACTTTTGTCAAAATTCATTTTTATTAATAGAAAATAAACATTTATTACAGCTTCAGTTGTTATACCTGAAGTTGCTAATAAAAAAAAGAATTTAAAATAATCACTTAATTGGGGTGCCTGGGTGACTCAGTTGGTTAAGGGTCTGCCTTCGGCTCAGGTCATGATCCCAGGGTCTGGGACTGAACCCTACATTGTTGGGCTCCCTGCTTATCAGGAAGCCTGCTTCTCCCTCTCCCTCTGCCTGCCACTCCCCCTGCTTATGCATGCACTTGCGTGCTTTGTCAAATAAATAAATAAAATCTTTTTTAAAAAATCACTTAATCATCCTCTTTTAAGACAATTGAAACTGTGGCTTAAGAAAAAAAATAATTCAACAGGGCACCTGTGTAGCCCAGTTGGTTAAGTGTCCAACTCTTGATCTCAGCTCAGGTCTTGATCTCAGCATCATGAGTTCAAACCCTGCACTGGGCTCCACACTGGGCATGGAGCCTACTTAAAAAAAAAAAAAAAAAAAAGGCAAGAAAAAGAAATATTCAGCATCATTTGTTCATAGATCTTTCAGTATTTGTTCTTAAAGTTTCTGGAACTTTCCTAACTGTAAAGTACAGGGATTACTGAACTATATGAGGAAGCCTCTCTGGGACAACCAATGAGAAGTTAAGCAATTGTCATAAAAGGAATCAATGTATATTTAGCATGGTAATTTGGACTATACAACGATCCCCTCCCCTCCAGCTCAGGAAGGACATGCTTCTAAGCACTGAGGTATGAAGAGTCAGACTGTTATATGCTGTTAGAATTAGCTAATAACAGTTAATCTCTGGCACAGATGCTACTGGTCCTTAATATCCTGTGATTTTAGGAAATTCTGTAAATAGTTTGGATTTAATCCAATTTATTCAGAAATTAAACATGTTTAAAAGGTTTACTACTCTGCCAGAGTATCTGCTGGTTTAGTATCCTTAGAAAATATATATAATACATGTAGATAAATCATAGTCTTAAAGTATACTTAGAATACTGCATTATTCAACCCAAAACCTATTTTAACAAAATGTCCATTATTAAAAGTAGCTGATAAAACAAAATCCAAAGTTATGACAAGGGAGACTCACTGGCACTTGGAGCTGTGTTGCTTAGAGAACTTTAAACAGCACATGCCCTTAAAGCCATTCAAGGACGGGTCAGGAGACACCCTCTCCTCAGTCTTTACTATAGGATTCCAGCCAAGGGTGGGACAGAAATTAGTACTTCTAAATATTTCAGCAGAGTCCATAGAAGTGTTAAAAAGACTTTTAAGAATGTCTGTCTGTCTGTCTGTATCTGTGAGAAGTAGTGCACATCAGAGGCACAAAGACAGAGGCAAGTCCATACACTCACTCAGGTGTGAGAAGAATGGGAGGTCGACTGTTAGGTCACCCTTAGCTAGAGTTTCTGCGGGCTTTTAACTACATGCTGACTCCCATGTGAGTCAGGTGGACTTTGGTGAGAGAATAGTGTTTGGTGGCCAGGACCTCTTTGGGGCATTTATTCCTAAGTGGAATACACAACATAAGGGAGTAGGGGAGGTAACAGAGGGAAGTTACTCATTCCAGCTCAGAAGGAGTTGATGAAGCCCATATATGTATTCAGGAAGCCCATGGGATCCTCTAGCGGTGGATAGTGGCTAATGTGGCCATCCGGAATCGGACTCTTTTCCTATACAGCTCCAAAAACTCTGGATTGAGATTCATGGGATCCAATGGCCCATAGATAAAATGAATGGGAACAGTTACAGAAGCAAGAGCTCCCACCCAGCATCTTCTAACCTTCTTTCTCTGGTTGATATAGTGTAAGGGACTGAGGGTAACTGACTTCTGTCATTGTTCAGTATCCCTGCCCACATGTCTCACAGCTTACTCTCAGAGTATTGGGTCTATAGCCCAAAGACTGGGGTGAGACCTCGGGAGAATACAAAGAAGTTCATCAATCGTGTAAGGATGGACGACAGCATGCCTCCATTTTTGAGAAGCTTTTGGAGAAGGAGAGGACAGTGAGTCTCAGGAAATATACCTGCACTTGACAGCCAGAGACTCTTCATGGTAAGCTGACCAGATCGGTTCTGCTCGAACCTACAGAGCACCTCCTGAGCAATGATATCTCTGTAATCATGAACAAAAGGTTCATCCTGTGGTTCTGGAGCCCCAGATGCTGCAAAAGTGCCTCCACAATGCTGGCCTGCTCAAATACGGAAAAGTGACGTGGTCTTGGTTTGTCAGTGAAGCCAAAGCCCAGGAAATCAAGGGCAATCACTCAATAAAACCTCAGGGTCAGAGCTTCCCAAATCTTGTACCAATCACAGCTGGAAGTTGGAAACCCACGTAAGAGCACATCTCAGGACTTCCAACCAGAAGATGTGCAGTCACTTGTAGGTGAGAAATTTGCCTGACGACATGCATGAGTGAGGAGCAGGAGACAGATGGGAGAGGGGGGTGGGTGTGGAATATGCAGACAGGCTGCAAGCAGGGGCACAGCAAGTAGCCCCACTGGAACCCACTACTCCCTCATCCCGTGGAGGAGATCGTGGTGCACCACAGCTGCGTTTTATCCCGGCAGAGCCGTGGGGAGCCCCCAGCGCCACGGCGTCCGCAGCAGCGCAGGGCCAGCCGTCAGCCGGGCACAGCCTACGTACGCCTGCGCGGGCAGTGCCGGCCACGGCAGTGAGAAGCCCCGGGATATGCTGGTGGCCGCAGCCCACTCACAGAGCTTTACAGATTTATTTTAATAGTGTTAGAACTCATAGTTTTAACTAAAATTTTATTTCGAAATAATTTTAGATTTACAGACAAGTTGCAAAGACAGCACAGAGAATTCCTGTATACCCCTCACCCAGTTTCCCCTATTGTTAACAACTTACATAACCATGGTGTATTTGGCAAGAGTTTTGTAGATCTTTTTTTTTTTTAAAAGATTTTATTTATTTATTTGAGAGAGAGAGAGAATGAGGGAGAGCACATGAGAGGGGGGAGGGTCAGAGGGAGAAGCAGACTCCCTGCCGAGCAGGGAGCCCGATGCGGGACTCGATGCGGGGACTCCAGGATCACGACCTGAGCCAAAGGCAGTTGCTTAACCAACTGAGCCACCCAGGCGCCCTTTTTTTTTTTAAAGTAGACTCCACGCCGTGTGGAGCCCAACGCGGGGCCTAACTCATGACCCTGAGATCCAGACCCTGAGATCTAGACCTGAGCTGAGATCAAGAGTCGGAGGCTTAACTGACGGAGCCACCCAGGCACCCCAAGAGTTTTGTAGATCTTGAGGATGGATGAAAAACACTTTCTTAATTCCCTCTTGTAGAGCAGATTCTCATCAAGGGCAGTGTGTACCCGACAGCAATTTATTTAATTAATCTGCATTATTGAGTTGTGATCTGTGTGTCCTCACCACCATCAAGGTCCTAGATAATAACTAGGGGATAACTAATGAGTCCATGCTTGTATAAAAATGGTGTCAAACACGTGATATGGCAAAATTCATCATGAGTAAAGCCTGTAGGTCTGACAAAACATTCTTCTAATGGCTTCACTGACAGTTAAATACTGATTTGCCAGCCGTAGATGAGCCTTGTGGATATCAGGAAGTAAATTATTAATATAAACTCTCCTATAAACTCAACTGGGAATGAGTTTCCATTAAAATCAAGAGGAAAATTAATTTCGAGGTCACTCATTCTTAGCACACATATGGATATATATTTTTTTCTTCCCATATGGGCCATACACTGGGGAGAAATCCAGCCAGACCCATTTGGAGGAGGAAAAAAGTTCAATTTATGCAGCAACTAAAATCTCCTGGATTGAATTCACAGCTAGAAAGGAAACATTTTAAATGAGGTCCTTCAGGAATTCGGTTTCAACAACGAAATGAGTCAGGAAGACAAGTCACTAGAGTTCAGGCCACAGAGGCAGAGGCAGGCTTAGTGTGGTCCACTTAGCTCACCTGGAACCTGCCCCTCTGAGAAGAATGCCAGGACTCAGAGTCACAACCCATAAACCTGTGCTCTGGTTTTCCTGCAGCAGTTAATGTGCAGTTTGCCTACTGCTACAGAGGAAACAGGGACTCTTACTAAAGATGCAAACAGTATTCCTGCTACAAAATAAAATCTCTGCTGATGGATTCATCTCCATGCATCCACCCAGGGAAAAGATCTGAGGCTGCCTTGGTGAAAGGAAGACTGATAAACAGATAAAACCCAAAAATGTAGGGAAGCTGCAAATGGCAAGGAACTGACTTACCTCAGTAGCTTTCTGGCTGAGGCCCCGAAGCAGCAGTACAATCACGTGGATGGCAGCTCTGCGCACTTGAACTTCACGGTCTGTTTTAGCCACAGCAATCAGGCAAGCTGTTACCTAGGAGGATGAGAGAAAAAGTCAATAAAAATCAGGATTGCACAATTACATAAAGCTTGTCAACTGCATTCCACTTTCTACACGTTCATCACGAAAAATCTGGCTTAGAGAGGGGTGGACAGTTTCCTCGTTCTCAATAAAGACGGAGCGATCTAGTGGTGGAGAACTTGATTTAGTTTGGCTTTTCTGGAAAAGGGCAAAATCTGGTTTGGAATTTAGGAGGAAGATTAGGGAGTTGGGAAGGATACGCATATATAATAAAGGTATGGTCAAATTCAAATATTTCCTCAAAAATGGGAAGAAATGTTACTTGTCCCCCTTTGGGGAGACTAAATCAAAGAAAGGAAAGATGGCCCAAAACACAAGTGACTTTTAGGGAGTGAGGACCATGAAGATTTAGCTGAGCAGGCTTCAGAGTTCAAGGCCCCGCATGAATATGAATGCACCACTGATGAAAGTTACAGTCCAGGGAGAGAGAAATACATAAATAGTCAAACTGATCTTCTTCAGCATGTTCAGATGTCCCAGTCCTGCAAATCTAGCATACCCCACCATGTCAGTCACCTGGGGCCAATTTCAGAGTCTCCCTGGGCGGCTTCATGTGTGGAATAGGTCTTTCAATGCTCATTTGCTTTAAAAGACAGCTCTATAACAGAAAAGACTAGAAATTACTAGCACAGCATGGTGCCAGATATATAGCTAATAATTATATGTTATAAAATAAGAACACTGCTATACCCTGTTATCACCCTGCCCCCACCCCATTCCTGGTAAGTACAAAAATATTTTAAAACCTCAATAAAAAGATACCACTAAAAACAACGGCAAAAAACCCTTCTGAGGCATTCCGTAAGGCTTAAAAATTAAAAACAAAAATCTTCAAAGTGTGGCCAATGGCAGCAACAATCTGAAGGTAAGTCTATATTATTCAACTGGTCTCTCATACTTTATTTCATTTACTGTGTGAGTGTATTTCTTGGCCAACCATGGAAGGATTTCTAACCATGATAAGAAAAAGCCAGATTGTGTGTTTGGAAACATGTATAAATACATATTATGTTTAAAGAATGGTTTTTAAAAAGGTTTAAAAAAAGAATACAGGCACAAACAGGGAAATAGGCTTGTGCAGAAATTTTAACTATGCAGGTTGTATTTTTCACAGCTTTCAAACAGTTGGGCATAGTTCAAAGTGTTTAATTAATCAGTGATGGCAGAGAGATTAGAAGAAGTAGCTTGTTCTTAAATATAATTGCATCTGTGATGTATTGGCACTTAATCAAGTTGTACATCTATTAGACAAACTTGCATCTTGCAAGTGAAGGGAAATCCCAGAAAAGCTCAACTCGTTGGGGGCTGTTTTTCAGTAACATCCAGTGAGCTGTTTCTGCTTCTGACCTGGGACACCCTGACCCAAGGCCATCAGTGGCTTCCATGCCTCTGGCATTAACGGTAGAAGCAATTCAGTTCCAGGAGGAATTCCTTGGGCAACCTCCAAAAGGTAACAATATAATAGCTACCTCCGCTTGCAGGCTTAGTATTTACAAGGTAAGAGCTGAAATCAGAGAGACAAGTTAGAGCTAGGCCTGAGTCCTTCTTGACACATGGAAGTTGAGCTTATTCAGTCTGGTAACTAAAGCACGAAAACCAGTCTGGGGCCACATATTGTGCAGATACTCCCAAGCCTTTTGCCTGCCTCCCTCTGGGTTTAGTTTGGGGCCTAGATTTCCACAGTTGGTGGATCGAGGCTTCCTGGCCTAGAACCTTGCTGGTGTCCGGCTTTGCCACCTCTGCTCCCCCACTGTGCTAAGCAGGCCATGCTTGTGCCTCAGCTCTCAGTGGGTCTGGCCCTGGCTGTCAGGCACTAATTCTACCACTGGGATAGGCAGAAGAATCCTGGCTGGAAAAGGGCTTCCCCTGAAAGGCCAATGCTTGAATCCTTGTGCCACTTTGAAGGTATGACTGGGAGAGGAGCTGGTTATTACAAGCCTTGCTGAGATCAGCTGGAATGGCCTCCTGCTTGCTACAGGCTGTTAGTGATTTATGCACCAGATAGGACCCAGCCCATCTGCAATCAGCCATCCGGGATGATCAGGAAGAGGCCCGTAAATAGAGGAGTATGCACGAACCTTCCTCAACACCTGTCACGAGGACCAAATCCTATGAAACGTATGATGGTCAATTATGCAAAATGTTTTTATTTTATTTTTTTAAAGCTTTTTTTTTAAGATTTTATTTATTTATTTGAGAGAGAGAATGAGATAGAGAGAGAGCATGAGACGAGAGAGGGTCAGAGGGAGAAGCAGACTCCCTGCTGAGCAGGGAGCCCTATGCGGGACTCGATCCCAGGACTCCAGGATCATGACCTGAGCCGAAGGCAGTCACTTAACCAACTGAGCCACCCAGGTGCCCCGCAAAATGTTTTTAAAGCATAAGAATTTTACTATGTTCTTGTAGATATCATCTTGAGACAAGAACAGCCTTCTGTTCAGGTCAAGCTCCCATCACCAACTCATAATGTTGCTTTCCTGCAGGCCACTGGGGCAGACCCCTCATCAAAGCCTCAAAGCAGGGAGGATACATGGCCACTCTCTTCCATCTACCCACTCTGAACAAGTCACTCCCACAGTTAGTCTCTCACACCTTCAACCCCAAGGACACACTTAACATTGCCTTCAACCTCTAAAAGACTTGGCAAATAGATCGATGATGTAAGGTCTTTACTAATTTATGAACTGGTTTAATATTTCTATTTTGTTTCTAAGCCCTCCCAGAGGGCAAAACCCACCCTATGTTATCTTCATGTTGCCTGCTTTCAGGGTCAGTGTACCTATTCTAATAAACCACACTGTGGAAGGTTTTCTCTTCACTGGTTAAAACACTTAACTCATATCCACTTCTGAGAGCCATACAAAGAGGAAGATGATGATTATTCTGGAAATACTAAAAATCAGCTTAAGCAATTTAACACTTGATAGGAGCCAACAGAAATAAGGGAAAACATCACTCCCCAAAATAGTTGGCACATACCAAGCATAATCAGAACTATATAAAAAGATATAGGGGCACCACCTGAGTGGCTCAGTCGTTAAGTGTCTGCCTTCAGCTCAGGTCATGATCCCAGAGTCCTGGGATCGAGCCCCGCATCAGGTTCCCTGCTCAGCGGGAAGCCTGCTTCTCCCTCTCCCACTCCCCCTGCTTGCGTTCCCTCTCTTGCTGTGTCTCTCTCTGTCAAATAAATAAATAAAATCTTAAAAAAAAAAAAAGATAATACAAATGGCAAGATTACCACAAACCAACTTTGGGAAATTCCAGGAGAGAAGGTACCAGAGTTGAGGTATGTATCATGAAAGCATGACTTCAATTTTCCAACTGCATCTTCATCCCTTTTCCTTGAGCTTGCTTTATTAAAATTTCAGGTGGTCTGCTAACTTCGTGAAACTAAATCATCTGTCCTTCTATTTTGTAAACAAAGAAACCTTAAGAACAAAAGCAGTATAGTCTCGGGGTCCCTGGGTGGCTCAGATGGTTAAGCGTCTGCCTTCGGCTCAGGTCATGATCCCAGAGTCCTGGGATTGAGCCCCACGTCCAGCTCCTGGCTCAGCAGGGAGCCTGCTTCTCCCTCTCCCTCTGCCTCTCCCCCTGCTCATGCTCTATCTCGAATGAATAAAATCTTTAAAAGAAAAAAAAAGCAGTATAGTCTCCAATTCATACCCGTTCAGCTTGCTCACTTAACCTGCCATGAAGGAGAACCCTGATGGCTACTTGAGCTTCCTCCGGGTTCCCCAGGACATTCACTAGAGTCCTCATCTCAGGGGTCCACTTATCCTCAAATTGTACTTAGCCAACTGTAGCCATCATGGCAAGACCGGTAATCAATTTGGATCAGTGGGGTTAGAGGTGATGGCTTTGCATCAGACCCCAAAGCTCAGGTTTATGGAATTCTGGGCACCACATTTAAAGTGGATTGCCCCATTGACTTCTCACCTGGGCACATCTTACTTGCTGTACTGGGCCTCTTACTGTGGTTCCTTTAAATCATATTTACTTCCCACAGAGAGTGATAAAGATGAAAATGCTTATCAAGATTTGGTTTCAGTGGCGCCTGGGTGGCTCATTCAGTTAAGTGTCTGTCTTTGGCTCAGGTCATGATCCCAGGGTCCTGGGATCGAGTTCTGCATCGGGCTCCCTGCTCAACGGGGAGTCTGCTTCTCTCTCTACCCTTCCCCCCTGCTTGTGATCTCTCTCTCAAATAAATAAATTAAATCTTAAAAAAAAAGGATTTGGTTTCAAGCAACACAGCTCTTGTCAAGAAAAAGGAGAAATAGGGGGAAATAATAATGCTCTTGAAACAGGTTAAATCTTGACATCAACAGAGGAGAAAAACCTGAATTTCCAGTACAGAGACTGATGGGTTGATCTTATCCTTTATATTCCTTCCCTACCAGCAAACACTATCACAGTACAGACAGTGCCCAAATGTGGACCACCCAAGAGGTAGACAGCTTTCTTCAGAGGCCCAAGAACTACAGCTATGACTGCCAGATCAGATCATGTTAGAAGAGACTATGGTGGTTAGTTTGTTCAATTTTATATCAGAACAGATGACAGGGGGCACCCGGGTAGCTCCGTTGGTTAAGTCATCCGACTCTTGATTTTGGCTCAGGTCATGATCTCGGGGTCGTGGGACTGAGTGCAGCGTAGGACTCCGAACTCAGTGGGGAGTCTCTCTCTCCCTCCCTGTCCTTCCCCTTGCTGCGCACGCACACACAAGCTCTCTCAAAAAGAAAAAATATAAGTTAGATCCTTTCATTCTTCTGCTTTGGCTTCCCAAATCACTCAAAATAAAAGCCAAAGTCCTTACAAGGCCCCACGTAGACTGCCACGACCTCTTTGACACACTGGCCTTGCTCTTTAGTAGCATGACAAGCATGCACCCGCCTCAGGGCTTCTGTACTTGTTGCTCTCTGCACCTAGAATGCTCTCTCCCCAGGTATCTGCCT